CTCTGTGTTTGAGACGGACCGCTTTGAGGTTGGTGCTTTATTGCACCACGAAATAACCTACAAAATAAAAATAAATCGAAATAACATACAAAATAAAAAACGAAAATGCTTATTTTGGCTGGTTGCATTTTTGTTTTTTCGTTTTTAATTAAAAAAAATTGGGAAAATTTTTGAAATGCCCCTGAAGTTTGCGTTAATTTGTGATTTGCCCCTCCGACGGCCGACTTACCCTGATTTGCCTCTCTGACAGTGATTCAAGTTTCCAAGAAACCCCTGGCGTCGTTTGGGCCTGAGGCATTTTCAATATGCCCCTACTGGTACCGGTGCCAAATTTCCAATTTGCCCCTACCGGATAGCCCTTCAGTACAGGCAGCAAGAATTTTCAAATGCCCCTACCAGTACCGTGCACCTTTTCGGTATGCCGTTCTGCCCGTTGCTGGAAGTTGCGGCTGTTTCCCTGGCCCTGGGAGGGGTGCAACGAGGGCTATGGCCTGGGTGTTCTCTTCCACTAAGGGGGCCTCACCACACCACTGTTGAAAGGCAAAAAAAGTTGACGGCTGTCTGGGTGTTCTCTTCCACTAAGGGGGCCTCACCACACCACTGTTGAAAGGCAAAAAAAGTTGACGGCTGTCAGAATAAATTCGACAGCCTCTCTTCGACAGTTCGTCCCCCCTCAGCCACACAGCACTGTAGAGTGGACGCACTTGTGAACGCAAAGCGCCTGAGGGTAAGACAAGCAGTACGACAAGCATTAGTCCATCCATCCTGAACTCGCGCCCACTCACCAAATTTCGACGAGAAGTCTATGATGGCGCAGCTGAGGACTGCCAAAAGCATCTGAGTAGTAGACTGGGGGGGATTCAACAACTTTCGACAAGAAGCATTGGGCGAGGCCACACAAGTCTCCAAATGCGCAAATTGAGAATGAACTTCCGGCTAGAACATGGCCAGATGCGCCCGCCAAATGTTTGTCTTTTTCACATTTCGAGAGTGGTGTGTCGAGAAGCATTCTCTGACATCTTACTTGCGAATTTTCTTCCCGTCTCCAATTTCTACAGGCTGTGTGGCGAAGAGAAATTATCGAAAATCGTGGTTTCTACAGTGGTGCCGCGCCGCACCACTGTTGAAAATGCAATATTCGACAGTTTCTCTTCGCCACACAGGCTGTCGAAGTCGGAGACGGGAAAAAAATTATCCAGTTGTCAGAGCATGCTTCTCGACAGCTCCTGTTGAAAGTTGTTGAATCCCCAGCCTGCTACTCCCATACTTTCGACACTCCTCGGCTGCGCCGTCGACTTCTCTTCGAAATTCGGTGAGGGGGGGTAAGGTCGGGATGGACTAATGCTTGTCGTACCCTCTGGCGCGTTCGTCTTTTTCCATCTTGTATTCACAAGTGCGTGCACTCTACAGTGCTGTGTGGCTAAAGGCGGGCAAACTGTCGAATCGAGGCTGTCGAATTTGTTCTGACAGCCATCGAATTTTTTCGCGTTTCGACTGTGGTGCAGTGAGGCCCTAAGGGTCTCGCTCCACTACTATCTGCTGTACGAAATTTCGTATAGCGGCCGTATAGCTGTCAGAGCAAAAAAAAACAAAACCTAGTGTCGCTCCACTTACTATCCGCTATACGAGTCTCCAATTTTGGAGTTCACTACAAAACACTCTCACAGCACTACAAGACATCAATTTGTCGGCCCAGACTCCAGGCTCTCCATACGATTTTGCGATGCTACGCCGACCTCCTTCGACAACCCCCTTGAGTAACGACTTCTGCAGGCTGTGAACTATACGGGATCGTATGGTGAATCCGAAGGCCGCCATCTGACATCCATACGGTGATTTCCGAAGGTGGATTTTGGATAGTAAGTGGAGCGGTGACTTACTATCTGAAATCGTACAGCAGATAGTAGCGGAGCGAGACCCTAATTCTCCTTGTCATTGAGCTGATCAGATAGAACACCACAGCTTCTGACAGTCGCATCTCTGTGAATCTGATCGGATGCAGCAGTAGAAAGGTGGCGCTGGTGGCACACATGATCCATCCAGTCTAACTGCGGCGGATCAGGTTTCTAGTGGGACCACCAGGGCGTTCTTTTTTTTTTTCTTTTTCTTTTTCTTTTTTTTCCTTTTTTCTTCTTTCAAGTTGTCAAATCAGCTGGTACACCCAATGAACTGTTGAAACACAGACCGAGCTTATCCAACTGCAATCCGATGAGCAAAATGAAATCATTATGAAGTAACGGCAATTAAAAAAAAAAAATAAAAAAAATGGAGTGCCACGTAAGCGTAGCAATGGTTCGAGGCTCGCAGTCAGAATAGCAAATTGGGTCCGATGGGGTGCGGTATGTTCGAGGGATACCTGGAATGCATTTTGAAAGACTGCGCAAGAGTTGCCCCTTTCCCCAAAAAATAAATAAATAATAAACAAAGGTTGCCCCTCAGGTCCTGATGCTACCGGCTGTCCCCTAGCCGGTATCGCCCACCTGCAGGTCGGGAGCAGCCCTTCTCTCGTGAACACGGTTCTGGCTGCTACGGGGTTCCCCGTGTGCCTACAATTAGGAGTTGTGGTAGGTAGGTAGTGTGAGGTGAAACTGAGAGAAGAATATAGCTTTCTTTATAAAAAAAAAAAAAAAAAAAAAAAAGTCATCAGAAAGGTGGCTATTAACCAACCAGCCTGGCTCAGTTGGTACTCCCTCGAACATAACGCACCCCAAACTTTTGAAATATGGGGTCTCGCTCCACTACTCTCGACTCATGAAAAAATTCGTGAGTGCTTCTAGAGCTGTCAGAGGTGGAGAACTCATGAAAAAGGAGGCGTCCCTCCACTTACTCCAGACTCCAGAACTGTAGAAGCACTCACGAATTTCTCAGCGCTACGTGACAGCCCTTCTACAGCGCTAGATGACAGCGCCAACTCGTTCTGATGGTCGGGGCAGGAGGCACACTCACAAAAAAAAGAGGCCGCGGGGGGCTTAGGAGGGAGGACACTAGAAACCGTGAGGGTGGAAATGAGACTCCTTATGAGAGTTATATTAAGCTGAACCTAACCAGACCAAGATGGGAATCGTCACATCTCCCTCTCTCTCTCTCTCTCTCTCTCTCTCTCTCGTCCAAGTTCTTCTCTCTATTCCTCGATACGTCACCTCCGCCTGCGGGAGGTTGTTCCCGTTGTCGTCGCCATCGCAAGGCTCCTCCGTTCTGTAATTTGTGTTTTTCTGGACTCGGCTGACAAGGATGGGGAGAGTTGTGCCGTCCTCCCTTCCCGCTATGGGGGAGAGACCGGCGCTTGCGCTTCTTCTCCGCCTCCGCGTCGCTGCGCTGTGCGCGTACTTGATCGCGGTAGCGTGGCCCGTTTACGGCTACCCAGAGAGGAGGCCGATGATGGGGTCGAGCACGAGCCCAGGCAGCTACGCCTGGATGCCGGCGCGTGCTGTGGGAGATGGAAGACCCAACGGCGTCAGTGACGGCAGCGAGTTCTACTGCTTCCGCGACTTCAAGAGGTGCAGGAGCGGCATCAAGGAATGCATCAAGCCGGAGCGGGAATGCGACGGGGTCAAGGACTGCGAAGACGGGTCGGATGAGGGGCAGTTCTGCAAGTCGTTCGACTGCACCAAGACGGGACGGTACATCTGTCCGAGCGGGAAGATGTGCATGAACGTCTCGGACTCGTATGGCAGCTGGAGGTATTCCCACAGGGATCCGTACACCGCATACTTGTGCGACGGCGTGARGGACTGCGCGGACGSGTCCGACGAAGACRAGAAGTTCTGCGCWTCGTTCGACTGCAACGGSAATGTGCSGCACAAGAAGGTGSCCATRACGCTCGAGTGGGAGAAGTCGACCAACCGCAGAGTGCGATGTCCAGGCGGAAAGGGTGGGTGTCTGTACGAGACGCAGCTGTGCGACGGAACTGTCAACTGCGTTAATGCCGCGGGCAGCGACGAGAGCGAAGCGCTCTGCAAGAAGCAAGGGTGCTCTTCCGCCTCGCTCTCTGATCTGTTTCAGTGTCGGACGGGCAGGTGCATCCCGCGCGCCCGGATGTGCGACGGCAAGAAGGATTGCCCCGACGGTGACGACGAGGGGGACTTTTGTGCGAAGATTAACTGTCCAAACGGCGGCATCAAGTGCAGCGATGCAAAGAATCGAACGTGCATCCAGCTGCCTCAGCTGTGCGACGGAGTGCTAGACTGTCCCGGTGGGACGGATGAGGCCGGCTGTGCGACGAAAGAGTGCAAGGACGGGAAAACTCTTTGCCCAAGTGGGAAAGTGTGTGCCTATCATACTCCGTGCGACGGTGTGAAAGATTGCGGAGACGGATCCGACGAGGATCCCGCGTTCTGTAGCCACTTCAATTGCTCGGCTGATGAGCGAATCAAGTGCGAGGACGGCCTGCAGTGTATCTATCCGTCAGATATGTGCAACGGCCGAAGGGACTGCCATGACCTGTCGGACGAGAACCCAGCGTCGTGCCGCACGTATAACTGCTCCCTGTGGGGCGAGCGTACCATTAAGTGCCCGGGGGGGGAGTACGTCTGGTGCACCATTGGCAGCTACCTGTGCGATGGTTATCACAACGAGTGCTACGCCGACAAGGACGAAGACCCCAAGTTCTGTGCTTCGAACGAGGCACGGGACATCCTCGCAGAGTACAGCAAAATTGTCTGCAGCAATAACATGACCAATTACATTTACGGTGACTACTGCGACGGGATCAAGAACTGTGCGGATGGGAGCGATGAAAGGGAGAGCTTTTGCAAAGTGTACAAGTGTCCGAAAAACCGAGTCAGGTGTTACGGCAAGTGGTGCGTGCGCGGAGCGAAATGTGACGGCAACTGGGACTGCCCCGATGGGTCCGACGAACTGAACTGCTAGCCCCGCAAGCCAAGATCGAAGACCACGACCCGCGTCCCTCCTGAACTTGGAGTCTTTTTGGTTTAGTCTGTCTAAACCTCTAAAGCCTATCTAGCTTAGTCTATCTAAACTTCAAATGGCATGAACTCGCGTCC